TCTCTCTCTCTCTCTCTCTCTCTCTCTCTCTCTCTCTCTCTCTCTCTCTCTCTCTCTCTCTCTCACTCACACCCACACACCACACATGCACACAGCACACACATGTAGCCACTAATGTATTGTGCTTTTTTCTTGCTTTGATGTTTGCCGACACACACACACAGGGCGCGGTGGATGCAATTGTGGCCGCCAAGGTGCTCAACCGCGCCGTGTACAACCGCAGTCGCGCATCCAGCGCGGAAACCCCCGATCACTTGACCCCGTCGTCCCATCACAGTGCAGCTGGCAGCGGGGGCGACGCCGATGTCGGCTGTGACAGCATGGTGTCGTCGCGGGCCGGCAGTCCGACGTCGGACGACTGCGACGACATGGAAATCCCGACGGTGGACACGGCACCTGAAGTGCCGTACGAGCACGCGCTCATACGCAGCGCCATCGACGGGCTGGCGTTCCGCGTTTACGGGCACTGGGTGAAGAAAGGCGACCAGCAGAACCGCGCCGCCATGTTCGAGAACCAGCCGAAGAACGTGGCTCAGCGCGTGCGCAGTCGCATGACAGGGGGTGTGATGGCCACGCCACGACAGTCGGCGCGCGCTAGCCCCACGCCGGGTTCCGTGGCGACCGGACGGCCGGCCATCAGCCCGCTGCCGCATATGTGAGCGCTCGCAGCTACGCAGTGTGTACGTGCTGTACGTGCTCGTGTCACAGTGTGTGTGTGTGTGTGTGTGTGTGTGTGTGTGTGTGTGTGTGTGTTGTGGTAAGACCTGTTCCTGGCCGATGCGCGCCAGGTACCGCTGGTCGCGCATCCTTGACTGCAATGTCCACGCCGAATGAAACGCTTCCCTGGAGCCGGCCGCCGTCTGAAAACACTGTGAGCACATTGTGCTGGTTGTTTGCTGATGGCGTACCTCGACTGCTCCTCTCTCTTCATGTCGTGTAAGCTACAGCGCCATTACTGTGTTATCTTGACGGGTACGGCGCGTGCAGTAATACGCCGTGAGACGTGTTCCCGGAAGTCATTGAGTGGAATTGATGACTGGCCTTCAAGATGCCGTAAAGCATCATGGCCTACATGTGTAAGTCCCCGCGTTGAATGATCTTCATCAGTTGAGATCTGTGTCTGTCTCAAATGCGTGGTTTGGTCCTCCAGGCTTGAGCTTGTCCGCTGTTTGCTGCATTAAAAAATTGTTGAAGCACAATAGAGTTGCTGAACACGCTGGTGCTGTCGCTGCCAGCCTAGGTCATTTAGTGTGTGTGTGTGTGTGTGTGTGTGTGTGTGTGTGTGTGTGTGCGCGTGTGTGTGTGTGTGTGTGTGTGTGTGTGTGTGCGCACGCCTGTATGTAGGATTTTAGGAGCGCTGCTCTTTTTTTAATGGTGTGGCAGTGCTGTGTGCGAGAGTCATTTCACCCCCATATATCTACCGGTTTATTCGCTTTTCAAAGATCTATACTCTGCTGCTCTTATCACTGTATTTGGTATTTACTCTGCTGAATATTTCCCTGCTGAACCTGCCCATTCGCACACTGAACTATCTCGGAATGCTCCATGGGCTGGCATCTCCGCTTCACTGGCTGCTTGCGCTTGTCCGCTGTTCTATAGCCGACCTATCATGACAATGCCGCGCACACATGCACAGCCTCTATTATTAAGTTACCCTCTAACTTATGTTTTAAACCATCTGCTCACCTCTCAGCATCCCACCGAGTGTTTTATATTCTTCCTTTATACCGTCTGATCTCGGAAATCCGTTCCGAAGTGCGGTCGGAATTCGGAGGTTCCTCCGTATAGGCTTACCGCATGCAACGTATTGTACAAAGCTTCTCTGTGTCAGCCAATGTTCTGTTGCTCGAGTGCACGTTCGCTGCTACTGCTGTTACCGGTGTTAGCATGCTGTATTATGCTACAGGCTGTTGGTGTTTGTTTCTTTCGCTACCTACACTGTAACACCACTCTGCAGTGACACTGACTTGGCAGCAGCCACATTTTGAGGATCACGACCAGGTTGAGCTTGATAATTTGTGTCATTCAGCTGCTTAATTTTTTACCGGTATTTAAAAAAAATGTATTTTTATCAGGATATTCTTCTGTGAATTGAAAATCTCTTTCTTCCATTCCGCATGGGGCTCAATACCGCAATTTGTGTTGGTGTGCTTGTGTGCGTGTACTCGCGGCTTGTGTGCGTGTACTCGCGTCCCGGCATGTATTTTTTGTATTGTATTGCTTTTATTTATTTTTACATCGCAAGTCAAACGGGCAATCATGCCCAATGTTACGATCACGATGGAAAGGGAGGAAAGAGTAAGAACAAGATTAGATAACCTTCAATGGACGTGGAAATTGAGTTGTCCTAGGGCATGCAGGACAACTAGTAGAAGGGAATGCAAGGCTGTGAGATTCCGAAGTGCATGTATTTTGTGGGTTTAATACGGACAAAAGCTGGGAGTAGAACAGTACTGTGCCACTAGTGCAAATGGTCATGGCATCACATCTCTGTATGTCTCTCTCTCTCTGTGTGTCTCTCCCTCCCTCCCTCCCTCTTCCTCTCTGTCTGTCTGTCTCTCCCTGCTTCACGCTGTTTATGAACATAAAGGAAATGTAGACAATTCAGAAAGCACACAAATTCACAACTCCAGACTTCTTGGGAGCAACTTGGCACGAGGGGAGGCGCAGTACATCAGCAGCAGTTGCCAGAGAAGAAAGCACAGAAACTACTCCAGGTGCACCAGGGAAAGGGAGACATTGCTGAGTGGAAAGTTACCAAGTCGGGCCGGGCCGCAAGCAGCAGTCGGCTAGTACTAGTAGTACCTGTGTCATACACACTGATAACGCTAAGCTAACTTCCTGGAGCTGCAGCGGAACTACCATAGGCTATATAGCAACCACTAACTACTGGAACAAAAAGGATACTGCACGCACAGCAAGTTTCACTGCTCAGGTCAGTCCATACGTGAGAAAGTAGCAAAGAATAAATACCAGTACGAGGCCGTGGAAGAGAATGAGCGATGAGTGCCCCCAGTGATTGGTGTGATTCGGCGGTGGGGCGCGCACGTGCACACACACACACACACACACACAGGCACGCGCGGGTATAGCAGTTATTCAGCCTCGGCTTGAGATGACCGACACGTTATGAGACACCTCATTCAAACTACACGCATGCCTTCCAACACACGATCGTGTGCGCACCCGTTACAGCACGCAGCCGCACGGATCTGAGCACATACGGACGGAGGCCTGGCATTGCCCGGTCGGCGCTACCAGCTGCCAAAGCAAACAGAGGCCGTGCGGCCACCACAGCAGCATTCTTCTCACTGCCGGCTCTAGCAGGACGAGAGAGGGGCAGAGAGCTTGGTTGGGGAGACTTGCCCGTCTCCAGAAACCACAGACGGCAATACTGTACCGAACTACCACAGCAGACTAGCAGGCAGCTAGCACAGCTAGAGTGGAATCACAGGCCTGGGTATGAGGTAGAATGATGGTTGCGTGTGAACATGGTCCAGGCATTAGCAACAGCACAATCAGCAGAGATAGCACGTAGCATTGCTCATCTCATGAAGTGGTCGATCGCGGCGGAAAAGGCCGCAAACCCTGCGCAGCCCATGACGCCAGGCTTGACGCCAGCTGCAGATGACGACAGCGCGTGCATCAAGGCGTGCACACACATACACACACATGTGCACACGTTTGCATGCACACACACACAGATTACATCATCGGTTTCTTTCACCACTACGGCCCAGATCATATTTCACTGTCCTGCGGCTGTGCTCAATGAAATACTTGCACTCACGCATACTGTAGAACAGCTAATTTTAGCGGGTACAATGTTTAGGGTTTTGTAAATCAGGACCAATTTGCGATCAAATATTTTAGCGATCTGGGCTTTAAGAGAAGAAACAAAAGGTGAATAGTACTGTACTTGCAAAATTTCGATTGGTGCGGCAAAACCTGAGCGAAAGCACTCCTTTCGCTAAAATAGCGAAAATATCACCGGCGCTAAATTAGCTGCTTTGCAGTAGCTGTCATCAAATAGTGCACAATTCCAAGAGCGTGCAACTCCGGTCTACGGGGTCTGCGACGGCAGAACTTCACATCACATGACAAAACCCGTCACACAACCTGCACCCTGCACACGATGGTTGACTCAAGAACTGGTCTAACTCACCTCGGAGGCCTAATGCTCCACCGACAACGCAGCCACATACCACACTGTTCGCTGAGCCAGTGCGACCTTGATACTGTGCAACAGAATATGCAATGCACGCACGCACACACATACACCCACCCACACACACAAACGCACATCCCCACACACCAAGACACACACACGGGCACAAACAGATGCACATGCACACACCCACACACATCAATCTCCTAATAAAGAGCAACATAAGGCTCACACTGGCATAAACTCTTCCTAAAGCATAGGTTGAACCAAGGATACATCCTGGCACAAGAGCTACAGTTATCCCCCCGATATCCGTCAAAGAAGGGGGTACGGCTCAAGCAAGATTCACAATTATCACTCTCCGCGATGTGATGTGCGACACATGTGACAAGGAGACGCCTGTCACACGTGTGCATGCTCAATGTAGATACATCCGCCCTTGTCATGTCCTACAGTGGACTCCTGCGTGGCTTGCAGGCCAACCACAACTATCAGCACCACCATCAGCAGTACCACCAACAGCAGCAGCAGTACCACCGGCACCAGCACCATCATTACCACCATCAGCAGCACCACCATCAGCAGCAGCACAAACACCACCACCATCAGCAGCAGCACACCATCAGCAGCACCATCAGCAGCAGCACACCATCAGCAGCACCACCATCAGCAGCAGCACAAACACCACCACCATCAGCAGCAGCACAAACACCACCACCATCAGCAGCAGCACACCACCAGCAGCACCACCATCAGCAGCAGTACAAACACCACCACCATCACTAGCAGCACACCATCAGCAGCACCACCATCAGCAGCAGCACAAACACCACCACCATCACCAGCAGCAGCAGCACCACCACCACCAGGACCCCCACCAACACCAGCACCAGCAGCACACCTCCCAGCACCATCACCATCACCACCACCACTCAACAAGTCCCCCGCACATCCCACCACCATCATTGTCACCTACCGATTCCAGCATACACTCTGTTCCGGAAAACATGGCTCCGATAGCACCAAAGCTCTTGCCATAACCCATGCTCCGTTTTCCAATCTCCTTGGCCGTTTGTTTGACCGTCATCGGTTTAGCTTGCGGACCCACGGTGCCCGACATAGGCTCACCGGCAATGGCAGGGTCCAGCATTGACGTGAAAATACCAAGAGCGATGCCAAGGCCGAATCCTGTACGCACACACACACACACACACACCCAAGCACACATGTACCACACACACACACACACACACACAGACACACACAGACACATGTGAACACCATGTACCATCATACGCCCGTCGCAATGTACCCCGTCGCAAGAGAAGCACGCAAATCTGCAAATGCACTGGATGTGCACCCACAGATTTTCTCTTATAGCAACGATAGCGGACAAGATCTGAATGAGACAGGTCAAGACTAGCGCCAGATACACACGCACACACACACAGCCCGCTGTGCCAAAGACGAAGACCCGTGATGCACGATGCAATGTGCCACCAATTTCCCAAGATCATTATTATTATGACCTGATCGGAGGTCGGGGGGGGGGGGGGGGGGGGGGGCAACATGTATGAGCCAATGTGTAGTAGGTGTGCTGTAAACCGCCTAATGTCCGCGTCGCCAACTATTAACGATTTCTTGAACAGGCAGCTTGACGATGACAAGTGTTCGAGGAGCACCGTGGCCGCACACAAACACCCACTGTTGAAGTTTGACTTCACGCCGCTTATATATTCGCGCTCGCATCTTCTCGCGAAAATAAGGAACATTGATGAACAAGTCACGCACATTAGCCAGTTTGTGTGTGTGTGTGTGTGTGTGTAGGCAATGTGGTCATACTCATGTGTACAATGTACATGCACAGTGTATGTGATGTACGTAAGGGGTAGAGAATAGGCACACAATGTTACAGAGCCGTGCATGCTAGGAACACGTCAATATTATTTACGTTCCCGTCCCTTTTCATTTCCGCAAACTGATAAATAATTTGCGTTATCATGGAGTCTGCGAGTACTAGTACTGTAAATTAACTAATTTTCGCTGGCGATTTAATTTCGCTGAATTCGCCGCTTGGTGCCAACCGGCCAAAGTAAATCGCAGGCCAAAGTTTGTCGTAGAGTCAAATGATGCAAGATTGAACCCCAATCAGCCAAAGTTTGATCACAGCCAAAAGTTTCATTAGGAGATCGGCCAAAGTTTCTCACCGGCCAAAATTTGTCGATTTACAGTACTTGAAAAGTTTCTCATTTAAAATAATTTAAAAAAAATCTGATCTGTAGTCTCTTACCCATTGCTCCGCTCATGCCCGTCTTGAATGCGCACCCCTCGATGAAACTCTCCATGTTTACCTGCATCTGCGGCTTCCCCGCGACCAGTGCTCCGGCCCAGCTGTTTGGCTGCACGAAGCGCTGGCCACCATCCAGGCGTCCGCTGCGGACGTTCTCCAAGACTCTCAAGTACATGTCGTCCTGGGCCGATGGCGAAGAGGAAGCCTCACCGACAGTTTGTCGCGGACCCTCTACGCCAGAATTTCTAGAACTAGGAAACATGGCTAGTGAACCGTTACAGGTAAGGCTTCCAATACAAGCGAAGTAAAGTTGTTGAGATAATTGACTGATATGACTGAACGGTTGAAGTCGTTGAACAAAATGAGACGATCGCATCGAGAACAGAAAAATTGAAAATACCTTTGAACTACAAAAAAATGTGAACAGCATTATGCAATGTTCGCCATTGACGTCATTATTGCAAAGGCCATGACGTAACCTAAAACACTTGACACGTGACGTAATTGTAGTCACGTGAACACCTAGGATGCTACTGGGAGCAATCCGCCAATCGTTTTCCACGAAGTGACCAGGTCACCGGGAAGGAATCGATGATGCTGATTGCTGGCAGCTGCTGACTGTAGTTTTCAAATAGGGCTCAGATGAATGACCGGCATGGCCGTAGTGAGAGGAGGTCGATTTTGCAGGATGTAAGGGACCATCGCAAAAGTTCGCAGAAGCCCCCGAAACGAAGACCGTGAGTTTCGGGCCTGACCCCCCTCCCTCCCCCCTCAAACGAAACGACAGTCACAATATGGGCTTCATTTTTTCACTTGGATGCTCACACATAATAATTATTATACCATGGTACGGTACGGAGGGCCTGTTTTCAGCCAATCAGCGCTCGTCTAGCCATGGTTATATTGGCCAGTATAAATCCCGCCCGGGATTTATATAGAATATAAATCCCGGTGCACGGTACGTACGCTAGGGCACTGCCACCGTACATGTTCACTGCCTGAAAGGCAGTGAACTTGTACGGCGGCAGTACTCCAGCGCACGGACCATACATAAACAGACACAACGGACACCACATGCACGTGTACACTCCACACAGAACGGCACACTGACGAGGAACAGTACACAATGGAAAAGAAGAATGACCTGGAATTCGTCTACAGAGTATTCTGTTATACTGAATCTGAGGATAAAGAACGTCGAATAACCACGAAGTATCCCGAATGGGTCAGCAATGTACATTGTACTTCGAAGAGTTGAAGATCATCAACAGACTGTCTCCTTCGTAAATACGTTTAGAATACCAGTGTACATGTACTTCAACCCGATTGGAAAATGCTACAATAGATTGGATTGAAATGTGATACAAAACAGTGCATGCAAATGCATCTACTTGCAAGCAAAACTGATTATAAGATGCCGCATGTGAAAATCAGCACTGTACCATAATTATAGTAACACTTACTCCCAAAGAGTCTGTAATCTAACTAGTGACGGTAGTTTGATTCAACGACAAACTCCAGCACCGCAGCAATTCAGTCGACTTCCGCACCGCTCACGACTCAAGACAAGATCATGAAGATGCTACAATATGCACTGGTACTGAAAGGAAATCTTATGCCAAACATCCACGGAGGAATCTCCTTCTGACCTTGCTCGACCATTCTTTCAACTGACAACTGATAACCATCAGAAGATGTTCATGTACTGCATGATGTAGGAGATCTCCAAATAGGTTTGTTGTTCTGGAAATGCGTAGGGGTACCTGGCATAAGTAGGATATGACCCTCGTAGTCGGGTTATACCGTACCCTCATATAAATCCCTCCTGCTATCGCAGTCGGGATTTATATTCAGCCGGTATAACCCTCTGACTCGGGTTATATCCTCTACTTATAATACTACACAAGCATTGTTGTATCAGTGTGTACCAATGTACAGCACTTTATAAATGCAACGATGATATCACCTTGCAGTGGGTGATCTAAGGCTGTGTTTACATGAGAAATTTCAACCCGGGTCGAGTTCAGCCCGGGTTGAAAGTCTGTACGATAGACAAAAGAGGTGAGCGTTTACATGAAGACAGTTGACCCGGGTCAAATACTGATATGCCGCCAAAAGTCCACTTCTACAGTCCTGTATGGTCACGTGAATCCGTTCGCGCGAAATTTGCATCTGCAGTGCTGTTCAAACCTGGCGCGAGATACGCACAGAAGTACGTTTGTACGATTTTCTTGACCCGGGTTGATTTCAACCCTCCCCTTGGGGGGAGGGTTGAAATCAACCCGGGGCGAAATTTCAACCCGGGTCAAGCGCAATGCGTCATGTAAACGCGCCATTCACTTTGTGCACATGGCGGGTTGAAATCTGACCCGGGTCGAACTCAACCCGGGTTGAAACGCTTCATGTAAACACAGCCTAAGAACGAGAACAGCTAGAGCTATGCAGTTGTATCCTTTGAGCATTACATGTACAATGAACGTTGATTGGTGTATATTGCTTTCACATTCCCCATACACGTCCTGACAAGCGATCTACGCCGGCTGTGATGGCATGCTAATCCTACAGCTCCTATAATTATGTCGTCAATACTTTTTTGAATTGAAGCCCGGTTTGCGATTTTCGCACCGACTCCCTCCCCCCCAAACGTATGCTCTTCGTTTCAGGGGCTTCTGCGAACTTTTGCGATGGTCCCTAATACAGAACTGGTTCCAGCGCGAGATAAAGCGTGCGATGTTCGACATGATCCTTCTATCCTTTTCAACAAATTCAAGTCGCTCTGCATCTGCCTGAAACAGTGAAACTGAAAGTGTACAGCACACGTCTAGACTATATAGAGGACTTTCCATTACATCACCTTTTTGGCGCCTTCCCGGTGTCCACCCAAAGATCACCCATAAGACAAGTCCGTGTCCTACGGTAAAATGTGCTTGGGTGGCAAAAAGAGAATGGTATCTTCTCGACGGCAGAGCGCAGCGACAGAGGCGAGAAGTATTTTCTCGTCACAGCGGTTTTTTCTCGTGTTTTTTCTCACAAGTGAGCAGTCATCTGATCAATTTCTTTTTACTCGTACATCTTCACATGTTCTCTAAACCGCTGCGCATGAGCACGACTGGCCAGTCGTCTTGAGGTAGCCTTTTCGACACCACGTTCTTTTTCGTCTTTCCAACAGACATTTATCAAATTTTTTTTTTCTCACCAGCATGGCTGAGAACGCATCTGCTCCCGCTTCAGCTTCGTCCGCCACGCCAGACTGGGCAACGAACCTGACACAACTTGTCAAAGAGCAGCATGCTCTAGCAGAGAAGTCTGTCTCTGAAATGGAGGCATGCAAGAAGCAACTGGAAACTGCCACTGCGGAGTTGCATCGCCTCAAAGCAAAGCAAACAACTACTTACTCCTTTCGTAAGGAGAGCTGCAAGGAGCATCACGACTTTGTGGACCAGGTGGAGGCGAAGCTGGAGGACGCGGCCCGGACCATCCCGGATGGACCTGCCAAAACCGCCATCATGGAAGGTATGTCCTTATGCGACAAAAGGAAGAAAATTATAAAAATCGCCGACAAATATGACTGGGCCACGGCGATCCAGTACAAAGGCGAGCACGACATTGCCGACGATGACGAGGACGCGAAAAGGATCAAGAGGGCTGAGACTGAAGTGGAGAAGACCAGGCGACAGAGCCGATCAGTGAGGCCCAGTTCTAGTTTTCGTCCTCACTACGAGCCATACTCGCCGCGGAGCCCCAGGGTCCCTCCAGCTCCGCGAACCGACCAGCAGTCGTCTGCTGCCCCGTCGGCGAAAGTCGTATGCTTCGCCTGCGGAAAACCTGGCCACTGGGCCAAGCTTTGCCCAGACGCAGCCTCTGGAAACGCTAGGAGAGCTCGATGAGCCAGAGAATTATCACTTGAATCACGCGTATCCTCAATCGTATCCTCAATGTAATATTGCTGAGTTGATCTATCCTATGCATTCTGCCAATGATTTTTATTGTGAATCATCCTCGTCGTGTAATGTTGTACTCAGCGGTCGCCTTCGTAATTGTTTAAGTTTTTGGTCATCTATTGGCTGCTCGTCCTTCACATTCAATGTATTAAGTAATGGTTACTATCTACCGTTCACAACCACTCCCACACCCTATGCTGCAAAAATCACTCAAGCTGTTTCAAACATGTATCATTTGTGTCCGAAGCTATCGTCAGTTTACTATCTGCAAAATGCATAGAGAAAACCACTGCTGACAAGATCAGCATTTGTAGCCCTCTAGGTGTAGTTGAGCAGAAAAAGCTGAGGCTGATCCTAGACCTGCGATATCTCAACAAGCACCTCCTGGCACCTAGGTTCAAATACGAGGATATCAGCACCCTTCGAACCATGTTTGAAACGGGGGAGTATTTTTTCTCATTCGACCTGAAGTCCGCTTACCACCATATCGACATTGATCCCAGGTATCACAAATATTTGGGATTCAAATGGCGAGGAGAGCTCTACACATTTACAGTGTTACCTTTCGGACTCTGCACCGCACCACATGTATTTACGAAAATCACCAGAGATCTGGTGCATTGGTGGAGACGCAATGGTCACAAATTGTTCATGTATCTAGACGACGGTGCGGGGGCAGAATCGTCACAGACTGCTGCTAGTAAGCTTGCTGATATTGTTCGGGCAGACATCCTGAAATCAGGTTTTATTCTCAGTGAGAAAAGCCGATTCACACCATCACAACAGGGAGACATGCTGGGCTTCCATGTTGACCTGGCCCAGGGCACCATCAAGGTGACCGAAGCGCGCGTAGAGAAACTCTCGCACCTCCTCACCACAACAAACCTTGATCATGCCACAGCCAGAGAAGTAGCCAAGATCGCAGGCTCCATCATCTCAATGAGCCCAGCTTTCGGTACGGTAACACGGCTACAAACTAGAGCAATGTATGAGGCTATCTCCACAGCCGCCTCGTGGGAGGAGATTGTACATGCGACTCCCCAGCTCCGCAATGAAATCACGTTTTGGTCGGAAAGCTTCCATAAATTCCACGGCCGCCCGCTGAGGCCCCTCGTAGCAGCTTCTGCAGTTCTCACTTGGTCCGATGCCAGCGAAACCGGGTGGGGCGGATACTCCGTTTCAAAGCTCGGCACCTGCGTTGCCAGAGGACCGCTTCCACCAGAGGTACGTGAAACAAGCAGCACTCTCCGTGAGCTCATTGCCGTTAGATACGTGATACTATCTCTATTACCAGTCTTGTCAGGATGCGAAGTGATCCACCGATCAGATAATCAGGCGGCAGTCGCGATAATCGCATCTGGCAGCAAACACCCCCATCTTCACGACGAAGCCCTGGCACTCTTCCGTATCTGCATCCGACAAGGTATCACGTTCCGGGCAGAGTGGATACCTCGGGAAGAGAATGAGAGAGCTGACTTCTTCTCAAAGGTGAAGGACCAGGACGATTGGCAGCTTGCGCCAGACGTCTTCCTAATGCTTGACCGGAAATGGGGCCCACATA